TTGCCAGTTACCTAGTAGGTATGTGTCATATAATGTCGCTTTGGAGGACTGGAGTCCATACAATTCTCATTGGTGTGAATTTATTTGCTCTTGTAAACTCTGCTCAGATAACATGATAAACCGGAAAACAGCCACATTATAGTTTTTTTATATCTACTGGGTAAGATTTAAACAGTTAAAATTGGTTGATTGCGAGTCTTCGCGTTGATTGCTGCCTACAAAAATACCTACATATATAATTTAATTAGTATAAAAATTAAAGTATGACGTAAATATGGCGGATCTTTTTTAATGGTTTCATTCAACTGAAGCGAAACGAACCGATGAAGTCAGACACCTATGTATATGAGACTACAACCTAATTTGGTATTAGTTATATTATGTATACAAATCAAAAAGTAAGTCGTTTAAAAAATGTCGCAAAATATGCCAATGAACCCATTATATCGCAAATATTTTCGGAATTATACACTTGAAGGTTTATAATATTGATGTTCTCCGTAACCGTAAAGTTTATTCATACATTCGAGGAGCTATCTACAGGAGTTCTTAGGAACTTCATTGCCATCGATATTAATCACAACACAAAGGCTCCAAAGTACAATAAACCGTTGGTCGGAAATAAAGCCCAATGACTTTGTGTCGACAGATAACAACGGTAGGTACCTACGTAAAAAGACAAAAGATTTTGCAAAACATTTAACGAACGCTTGTATGTTACATGTTTGTGTGTGTTATGTGTTGTCTTTGAGGTGAGTTTATACTAATCGTATTAAAGCACGATAAAATATTACACGAATCACTATTCGTTATTATTTACATATCACTTATGTAAATAATACTACGATAACTTTATCAGCCAAGATGTTCTTAAATTAGATGTAGCAATGTTTCTATGACAGATAACAAATTTATTTTATTACAAATCTAATACTACTATAAACACTTATTATTAAAATATAGGTATACTATATAAATTAATTAAAAACCAAAATTAAATTTCTGTTTGATTTGATTGGTCATAAAATCTATTACAAGTCTTTCCTTTCATGCGTTTTTTTTTTTGTTTTTTATGTATTTAATTTCTGTAATATATTTACAGATATTGTAGCATCGATTTGTCATCAAGCATTTAAAATCACCTAACTGGTTCTTCTCAAGTTATCCTCAAATGCAATTTCCTCCTTACACTACTTGCTTCTAAGGCTTTCTTTATCTGCATCTTAGCTTTTAATAGTACCGAGGTATGTTGTTGCCTCAGAATATTAGAGAAGAGAAGAAGAGCTTTGTGAGCTTTTATTACTCGCGTAAGTTGGTTAAGTTGGAAGGAAGTAAGATATGTGAACATTCAACGTAATGCTATGAGGCAGCACATGCCCCCTTTACATACATATAAAAAAGAACATTAATTATTATTGTATTACGCTTATTAGTAAAATTCCAATATTGATGTATTACAATTACTAAACGGCTTGACTGCATTAACATTATAGGAGAAGAAAAAATTTGTGTAAAATCTTCCATCCAATCCCACACATTCATAACTCTTTCTTCTATCCCTTATTTTGCAAGTGTTTTCGCAGGTCACGTAAAGCCTGACTGAAAATTATATGTAACAAAAAAATTACGGAAATAGAGCATTGAAACATAAATTTAATTGGCACAATCCACAGGAAATACATAAATCATGATATATTAGTAGGAAGTATTTAAATAATAATATATAAAATAATCCTTATACTACAAAATAGAAATATTATATCGTCGCTCAGTCTAGACGTGACACTTAGTATGTGCAAACTGTTAAACTTTTCTGAGACAAAAGAATATTTTACTAAGGAGGTTATAACACACATCTTTTATTTTTTACTGATTTTGAACTTAAGTTATATATGCTTTATCAATAAATAAGAAATTCTTTATAATTAAGTGTATTTCATCGCATTACAAAAGGTTTTTATTTGGCCGCTTTGCCGTCTGCCTAACGCCAGCTATCCTTAGGAAGATACTCATTTTCAGACTGGATAAAAAAGAAAATAAAACGAGTTAGGGAAAACGGATAGGGTAACTGATGTGAAAATAAACTATGGTAAGGCATTCCCGAGTCTCGGATGGGGAAACGGGACTGATACTGCAGTACCTCGGAGGAACCAGGAAACACGCATGTCAGTCATGTGACTGGAGAGTCTCTATTCTATACTATTGTGAATATAGATTAATCAAAATTGTTTAATTCATAAACTTTTAGATTGCCTTTAAATGTAATCTTGAAATGAAATTGTTTTTGTTCCTGGTTATTTTGATCGTATTCGTGGGAATTGTGATGATGAACATAATTATAGTAACTGATGTTTTCTCGATGTACACATTTGTTGATATGGAATTTTGAGTTTTGTATTAGTAAATATATGACACAAAGTTGAGTCAAAAGGCTGGTACATAGGGATTTATTATGTTATTATTAAGACGTGAATTTATAAATCTTTTGACTTTGGAAAAATACAGGTTTGTTTTAAAAAATGAAATAAGAAAAATAAAGTGACTACCCAAAACGCTATTGCCGTTTGCTAAAAAAGACCTAAAAAGCGGCCTAGTTCATATCTTCAGATATAATGTATGATAACATTAAAAGTAGTATACTTGAAATAAGCTGGTAAACTACACATTGTCTGTAGTATTTATCCGCGGTGTTGATTAAAATTCAACTCAAACGTCTATTAAACATGTCAATGTCAGGAAGTCAGATAACGATTGACAATGATCAACGGTATTCTTGTTTGCCAGAAGAATATAATGATGCAGTCAGTATGTAGAACACTTTACAATAATATAAACCTTTTTCTTCAACCTTGATAAATACTAATGGTAATGATACAGGGCCGTGTTTCCGTATTTAAACTCATAGGTGGTCCATTGTCAGACGAGGTTGTTGGAGGCAGCTTAGCTCCTTCCCGATGCACAAATACGCTTTTAGGAGCAACGTTGTGCCATTTCTCGTTGTGATAATTACATCGCAATCCAGAACAATGTAGGCAGTTGTTCTCTGGAACATCTTCTGCATGGAGGGTTGTCTATTGTATGACTAATAATAGTGAAAGAGATGATGTAGCTATCATACATACAAACAAATATAGATATATGCATACATAGAGCCTAATTCCATTCTAGCCAAGGTTACTGCCACAATCTATTAATCACAGCGTGATAATACTCATCGTATTATAACGCAATTATCTAACGGAAAAATACTTTGACGAGTTCCGCTGCTAATTTAATAAATTAACTAGTGTTATTTTTTTTATTGGTAAATATTTAGTATCAGTTGTATGAAAGTCGCTGCTCGGTGATTTGGCGTAGTTATTACTTAGGTTTTAATTCAATGTGTTTCATGATATTTAAAAATAAAACAATAAATTGAATAAATAATTATAATTAAATGGTGCGAGTATAACTATTACAGAACACTTAAAACGCATAAATGTCGTACCTTATTCAAACTGCATCATCACCATTTACAGCCTTAATCTGTCAGCTGCTGGACATAGGCCTCGCCTTAGAAAGGAGGTTTTGGCCTATTATATCACGCTAGCGATGCAAAGTTATAGTAGGGGAGCCCATGATGCTAAATGGGGGTTTACTCGAGCATCACGGTAACGATTAGGTAATAGAATGAATAAAAGTTATATAATGTTTCACTTTCAGCGCTGGAGAATTTCAATCACCATTGTTAACCTCAAGTGGTAAAGGTATGCAATGGTTATTTTAAAATTGTTATTTTTAAAGAAACTGCCGTGAAACGTGAGTCAGCTACACAATAAAAAAATATACATAGACTAAAAACAAATATTTCTATGCTAAATATTTCAATACAGTTATATATGTATAAAATTTATACGTACACAGAGCAAAGCTGAAAAGTTTATTTCGTTGTTTGTTTAAAAGCGATATCTCTGGATCTGCCAGTCAGATATGAATGATTTGTTTTATACTGGATACAATATTCATTGAGGAAGGCCATAGGGTATGTAACATCACGCTACAAGCCTCCGGCGGGGATCAGTGACCATTAACGCAGGTGAAACAGCGGCGAGGGACTAATAATAATATAAACGTGTACATTACTTGCGGAACATAATAAGTACAAGAAAAAGAGGGGTAAGAAAATAATAATTAGTAAATATTTCTAGTACTTTTATGTCCTACAGTTTTCAATGTCATATTGTTTTTTTCATCTGTGATCACATGCAAACATAAATAATGTATTAAAAAATGAGATTTTTGATTTTCGAAACTAAAATTAGATTGAATTCGTTGAAACGCAATGAGTCACGGTCGAATTTTAAATATTCGAATAATTAAACATTTATACGATACGAGCAGTCAAAATTACTGTTTTAGTGGCTATTATAGATTCCGGTATCTCGACCTCAACGAGAACTGATGGCCGCTGTACAGGGGCAAATCGCTTAGGGTCATTGCAATAATTAAGCTTTGGAAATTTGCTAGAATTCCTTCAATTTTTTCTATCTTCGTCACAGTCTTTAAAAAAATAACAGTAACTGTTAATTTACAAAGGTTGCGAGAAATAAGATTTTTTACAATAATCAGTTTTGAAGCCTTTAATATTTATTTATTACACAAGGATATAAAGTTTGATGTTCGCGGTCCCTTGCAGCTATTTGAAAATCATGCTTCTAAGAAAACAGTTTACAGAGGAACTCAAACCCATGGTGTACTTCCCATTAACTTTGCATCATGACCTTAAGCAAGAAGCAACATTCCAAATCATCAGTAGTAAAAAAATATGAAGGTCATTTTTGTGTTATGTTACATAAAAATTTGTTTGTCGATCAAAAATGTACGATGGTCAGTTGAGTAATTAAGGTGTGTAAGTGTTAAATATATAGAAACCTTCGGAACAATTTCTTATTTATATGGTTAATTAGAATACGAATATTAAGATTTATCCGTCACATCATTTTATAGAATAATCCACTCACCCTGGACAATGGAGCACACCTAGCACACGCTAGCCCCGCAGGAGGTCTTGTCTGTGGCTGAGGGGGGGGTACGATTGGCCCTTCTTTCACTCTGTACAGCGATGTGGTTCGAGTCTGTTAAAAAAAAACATACAAAAATAAAAATACAAAACTATTGATATGATCATTGCCGATTTTATTTTGGAATCAATATTTTGTTAAATTAATAACTTACACGATCCTTAATATTCACAGGCCGTTCCAAAAAAAACATTGTTGTGTCAAAATGATTGTTTTTTGAAATATTTTTCAAAGAGAATTAAAAACGAGCTCGGTTGTTAGATGTACGTGCGGGACGTAGATGACTTAAGATAATCAGAGGCGAAAATTACAATGAAACCTTTGATTTTCCTTCTTATCTGCAAAATCATTATTTTTACGACATGAGACAATTGACACGGAGTACGATTGTTGCTTTCTCCTTAAGAGTTATAATCTTGATTTTTATGTGTGTCTATATTCCCTAGTAGTTACTAAACCGCTGAACCGATTTTGAATGATATTTAGCTAGATTGGTTTTTATTTAACGAGTATCACTGGGTATATTATAATACTAAACACATTAATCTCCTGAACCTATCGACCGGAATAACAAACTTAACAGTTTTAAACATAACTGAAAAAAATCTACAAAACTATCCTTCCTTTAGTTAGTATTAACGTGGAAGCAAAAGCTCAAAAAAAGGTAAATATCTATTTTTACATACATACATGAATCATGCATTTGTAAACAATGGCTACTATTTTTTCCGACGTAGCAGTTCTGTAGACAGTGGAAATACAGAATGACTAAGTAATTAACAGTTCATAATTTATTCAACACAGAAATTTTACGTTATAAAATCGGTTATTTTTAGCTTGGCTGTTATTGAGCTCCAGTGTTCAGCAATTTAAAGAAGGCAATGTCATGTTCATTGACCAGAAGCTTTAAGTTGATTGTACCTGCAATTACGTAAGCTTAAGTAATGCATCTGCAAATACCTTTTAGAGACTTGTCTGAGATCTTTAAAAAAAATAGATATAATATAATTTGATTTTATTATTAAGGAAAAAATTATCAATCACCTATCTATCATACGATGGACCCTAATAAATAATTCTTAAAATGTATTCAAAATGAGTTAATTCTTACAAAAAACTAATTATATGCACAAAAGCGGACTACCTCATCGTCATGCTTCTGTATAACGTCAATTTAGTTGGCGCACCAATTTGTTTTTTTTTAATTTATGTTTTGGAATGGTACGGAAACAGACCAATAGAAGCTTATGATGTGTAACTAAATACTAATAAGGTATGACCCTTATTCGTATTATCAAATGCAGTATTTGTTTGATAGTGTTTTCTAGGAGTATTAATGTTATTTTTAAAACTTTTTGAGCTCAGCTATTTAACAATCCCCTATATCTTTTGAAACAAATCATATAACATAATATGTTACACGTTTACACTCAAGCTAAAGACAAAATAGCGTGTGCTGTAAAGTAGGTTTACAATATAATATAAGATGATTATTACAAAACGGTTGCCAAATTGCCGTTAAAAGGTGTTGCAAAAAATTGCTTGCTATGTAACAAAGACTTAGATGTTTCGTTTTAATCATCGGTTAACGTAACCCGGTTACACGTTACAGTATCAGCAAGGTTTTAAATTCTGTGGCAATATATCTTGTGGTCAAAACTAGAGTTATTCATATCTATAATTGCAGCCTCAATATGGTTTATGGTTGGTTTGGTATGATTTCGACTTCGGTAGCAGGTCTAATACGCCAAATACTGTTTGTATGTTCCACTATAACAGGAAGTCTGTTTATAACAGTGTGGGATTTGTGGGATTTGCGGCATTGGCATATTTCTCTGGATAGATAAAAGGTGATATATGTTCTACTCTTACAATTTTTTGCTTATTATATGTACAATATGGTAGTAAACGGAAACCAGAGTAGAGGATCACCACAAAAAAAGATGGATGGACTAACTAAAAGAGGATATGTTAAAAAAGGAATAAACAGTAGGCTGAAGAATGATAGAGGAGAATCAAAGAAGGAAACTCATTGAACTGACCCCAAATAAATTATGGAAGAGTGCAAGAAGACGTATAAGATTTATATTTACAATCAACTTCTACCTATTTAAAGAAGACATATACTAAAACCTCTTATCATAAAACTATTAAAGGTATCAATATCTTAGTTCCAATAATACATATACTCGTACTTACATACAACTTTCACATTTACTCGTATGGCTTATTTCAAGCTTCATTATATTACATAAATTACATAGAAACATGATGCTACCATTACGACTATTACATGACATGACACAGAAATAGGTGTCTTGACCAGATTTTTCATGCTTCAATAACAACAAAATGGTTCCCACTCGTTAGTGTTATATGTATTTGCATATGTCGCAGTAAGTTAGTAATATGAATGATTTCCATACGAATGTATGCCGGTGGCGCAGTGGTAGCGTATGCGACTGCTGTTCTGAGGTCTCGGGTTCGATTCGAGATCGGACCAAATATTTGCATGATCTGCAAATACTTGTTTCGGAGTTTGGGTGTTTTCTATGTATAATATGTATGTATTTACAAAAAAAAGTAAGTATATAAGTATTCTATCAGTCAATCTAACTTTCATAGTACAAGGTCTGCTTAGTTTGAAACTAGATGGCGTTTTGTGTTAGATGTCCGAAAAATATTATTATATTATTAATTAACTTATTAGGCGAATTCAGTAATACTAATGTATAATTGATTGTTATTCAAAACAGAAAAGTAAGATAGTTATAACCGCTTTTAATTAACAATTTTACAGTGTGGAATTATATCTCCAAGGGCATAATTATATCGTGGATCTTATTACGACATAATCATTGTACATAATAACAAACAACTTTTGACGATTACAAATATACTATTATATAATTGGACTATGAAACCAAGTCATTGACACAATCGTTTAAAATATCTTGGTAATGATTAGACAAACACATTTTTTCAGTCAAAATTTTATTATTCTTTAAACCTAAATTATTATAGGTTGGTTTAAAGATTTTTTTTTCATAAAACAGAATTTCACTTACAATGAAACACAAACTATGTTTATTTATGCAAGATATTTTTTTGCCTCTAGGGCCTTACATTACAATATACAGATTACAATAAATACATCATATTGGGCAGTTTATAGTAGATAAGTACCAGCCTGGCTTCCTTCCAGCCTTCAGGGAATACGCTATTATGAAGGCAGCTAGTAAACCTAAAGGTAGTGCACCTCCACACTCATTTCCACAGTACCCTAAGGTAGACTGGTAGACCCTATGGCATTAAGTCCGCCATTGTACTTATGTGCATAAAGTTAATAAATAAAATAAAATAAAATAAACAGCCGCCTCAGCCTATTTCCTAGGATCGCTAAAGCGCACCCATGCTAGGCCCGGGATCCTATCAGGACCCGGTGCGGTGTTGTGGGGGCGAGTCGCTTCACGGCTCGGTCCAGCTCTTTCTCCGTCACGTCTAAGTCGTAGGACCACATCACCGGGTCCGACGGTGACGGAGGCCCTCAGGGACTACCCTGGTCTCTGGGGAAGAGGGTATGTACCACTCTTCCCACAAACTCCGGGTCCAGGGTCTGCGTCAGCGATGGGACCCACGGTCTGAGCTTGCCCAGTACAATTTTTTAAGGGTGCCCCCATGGGTCCCTGTCCAGTCCCTCTATGAGCTCATTCCAGGACCGAGCCTTGGCTTCCGCGATCGCAAGGCTAATAGCCTTTGCGGCAGCGCAGTAATCCTGCCTCACTTCAGCGATCTCCTCGGCTGTGGCTGGCCGTTGTCTTCGGGTTCTCTGGAACCGGCGGCAGGCTCTCTGCTCGAGTTCCGATGTCCACCAGTACAGAGAACCTCTCCCACCGCGCGGCCTGACCAGTGGCATCGACGCGTCACAGACGTCTTTCATGACGCCACGGAACCAGGCAGCCAAAAAGATCAAAAACCAAAAATCTTATACGGCAATTTTTTTTTTAAATATTAATAATTTAATAAGATTTATGTAATAAAAACCCCACAGCTAGTAATTTTTTAAAACGTTAAATCGACATATTTTATCCCTGCTACCCTGTTAGCTACCACAAAACAAAAAAATTGTAAGAAAAAAAGGTGGGCGTCTCATCAAAATGAAGCTACTCACGGCAAATTAGCTTGATAGTAATCAATTGTAAATATGGACCTTGAATCCTAGACTGGGATTTTGAAATATATATATATTTCAAAATATATACATTTCAAAGATAACTTACACCCAGACATTTATGTATCCGGAACTGGCCAGTTACAAAACAATATTAAAAAGTAATTATAACATTTAAAAATTGAACTCTTGGGATGAAGAATACTCTACTAGTAGAATACTACAGAAAATTGCGTGTCTTTATTACTATGGATTTAACTTGTGAAAATTTTCGTGCTATGAGTTATTACGATTTTCGGCTATGGCTAACTCGAAAACAGTGCATCGATCAAATCACTTCGACTATCAAAAACAACCGAGTTTAATCGAAGGCGGTCTGTGCTCACGGACGAATTTAAAGAACCTAAATCGATTGTTGTACCTCAAAATATTGATGCTGTGCGAAAACTAATAATGCAAGATTATCATGTTACATATCGCGAGATAGAGGTGTCTCTGGGAATAAGTATGACGAGTATATATAACATATTACATAAACATTTAGATTGGTGTAAAAAAATGTTACAAAAGTACAATCAGGGTACGTCAAAAGCTGTCTATAATATCTACACTTATTATCGAATTTTGGACATATGCGTATGATCCTAAAACTAAGCAACGGTTTGGGTGTTCCAAGATGAGCCCTTTGATGCCAATTATTGGCCCAACAAAAATTATTCATTCAAAAAGCACTTTGAAGCAACAACGCAGAATCCTTCTTCATCATGACAATGCTAGCTGTCAAGCATCGGCCGAAACGACTCAGTATTTGGAAGATCAAAATATCGAATTAACGGGTCATCCGCCGCACAGCCTTCACTTGGCCCCCAACGACTTCTACGAGGTGGTCTGAAAAGTTCCCGACCTCAGCACGATGGCAGCACTCGTACATAATAAAAGCTAGTGAATTTCGTTGTTCATCTGTTGACAGTTACTCGCCAAACTTTCAGCCATTTTGGACGCGCAGTTGTTATGTAACAGTCGTTTGAGTGAGTTGATGTAAGTGTTTTTTATGAAAATAGACCAAATCGAGTATCGAGCTGTCATTAATTTGTTTCGGAAAGGCTATACGCCTTTGAAAATCAAAGATGAGTTGGTTTCTTTGTATAGGGACTCTGCACCATCATTTACCACAGTGAAATTTTGGGCAGCTGAATTTAAACGTGGCCGTGAGAGCTTGGGCGACGATGAACGTTCGGGACGTCCAAAAACTGCAACTATCGACGAAAACATCGCCAAAGTTCACCAAATGGTGCTAGACGACTGCCGAATTAAAGTGAGAGAGATAGCAGAGGTTATGAACATGTCAAAAAAAAGCATAAACTGTTTTTCAGCTGGGAAAGTGATGGCGACTGTTTTTTTAGATAGTCATGGAGTGCGGAAAAACCGCCACATTTGCACAAAAAGAAAATCCTGTTTCACCAAGACATCGCACCGTCTCTCACCTCAGCGGTTGCCATGGCGAAAATCCACGAATTACTGTTTGAACTGCTTGACCATACGCCTTACTCAGCAGATCTAGCCCCAAGCGACTTCTTGTTCCCTCATCTAAAAATTGCGCTCGAAGGACAGCGATTTTCGTCAAATGAAAAGGCAATCACCTTCGTGGACGATTATTTTGCAGAGAAAAACGCCGAGTACTATTTGAAAGGGTTACAGAGAGGGGAGCACCGCTGGGAGAAGTGTGTAGTTACAATAAAAAAAAAACTGAAAAAAGGTCTTGTATCTTTGTAAGGTCGGTAACTTTTCAGACCACCCTCGTATTTATTCCCAACCGTGAAGAATAAATTACGTGGTCAACGTTTTTCGAGCCGTGAAGAGGCTGTTGATGCGTTCAAATGCACGTTCATCTATCATCACAGTCAATATTTTGAGAAGCAGTAAAACTATAATAAATTCTATATATTTGCTTCACTTTGTTATTCGGGATAAATAAATAGCAGCCCTCGTATAAATAATTGCACTTTTAATCTCAATATAAGTTTAATACAACCATCTAGAATTTCACTTGTATAAACAACATCATCATCGTTGTATGGCTAGAAAGAGAGTAAGCAGTAAACTAACGAGTGATAGAGACGAATGGTTTTAAAAACCCATTGCGCGGACGCCAAATAACTTTCGGAAAAGGGCAAGATGATGATGATGAAGATTATGAAACGACATCTCCTTCATTGATAAGCCCTCTTATAAGGCAAGTGTCTCTCAAAAGTAGGGATTGTAGTACTTACAGCAATATCTGCGTCTAGCTTCGCGTAGACGTCATGCTGTTGACGTTTGCGTGCGCGCACGGCCTGTCGTAGTGAGCTGCTGGTATCTCGACCGCACCACCCTCCAACGCGTTCGCCGACCACCTCCAACATGTCGGCTACGCGACTGTAAACAAGAAAAATTGAGTTTAAATAATAAGCAAATCGAACACTGTACATCGTACATTATGTACATTATGTCTAAGTCAAGTATCTCACGAGAAAATAACGTCTTTTTCTTGGTGAAAGATATCTCAAGTTTCTTTCTGAGTTCCATTGATGACGATGTACAAATATCATCATGCATCACCGACTAACTTTAAAGCGTTACAAACAAAAAAACTTACAATCTGATTTATAATATAATATCCGTTCACAAGGCGGATCCGCAACGTAATTGGCTGCGTCCTAAATTATAATATAAAATTTTCGATTTCTACATTTTGTATGACCACTTGTTAACAATCAATGTCACATTTACCTTGATCATAATTCACATAAATTAGAAGCTGAAGGTGTCCTCTATTCCAATTTTATTTTAAGCTATATAAAATTAATTATATATCAACCCACGCAAATGTTAAAAAACACTTCGTTGTATATTAATCCTTTGAAATAATGTCAGATGGCATGACCTTTTTATACATTTCATCACATTTTTAAAACACGCTTGCTTCTTCTAAGTTCTGGCTCTCTTCAGTCGTCAGTGTATTAATACATCTTTCGGGGCCTACCCCCATCGCCTGGCATACTTAAAAGAGTCACTATAAACTTCTTTAGCCATTTACTCTTTAATCATTCCAGCATTCCTATCTCTACATTGACAAAGGAATACACTCAAAAAGGAGGAGGTTATTAATTCGGTTTTTTTTTTTTTTTGATGTTAGGGCTCTATATCTCCGTCATATATAGACAGATTTTCAAATATTTTTTTTGTTCGAAAGAGGTTTATTCCGAAATGGTCCTATTTAAATTTCACATAGATCTGATAACGAATTTCAGAGACAGACAACGAAACTCTTCAACAAATGACAGCAAATCAACTGCGATTGCTGCTAGCTGTTTAGTTCTGTTTGTTAGTATTCTTTGAAGTCGGTTCAACTTTTTTTTTAAAGGATTTTCTAAAACTCGCCAGTCTTCACTTTTATCAATCAATTGTACATTACTCAGAATTCCATTCCATGTTACTTTGGCTTCTGGCGTGCCCATGTATCACTGCAATGCTAAACGTGCTTTTATTGACATACGCTTCTGATTTTTCACAACTTAAGTAATTATTACAAATTAACACATTTAAAAATATTTTTATTTAGCATCCGACCGGTCTTATGATAAAGAGGAAAAAGAGCAGACGGATCACCGTAGGCGACACACTTAACTCTAGTGCATTACCGGTATATGAGGTTAAAGTTCACTCTTTTTTCGAAAGTTTGAAAATAGTGGTGGTCCAGAAAAATTGCAAGCGACATAGAGTATATTGAAAAGCTCGCAGCAATTAACTAGTAGATTGCTACAAGAACATTATACAAGGTAAGGGGTGGAAGTTTTGTCGTTTTGAATGATGACGGAAAGCAACGGCCTTTATAAGCCTGAAAAATAGTTTCCCCAATATTTTCTTGTTAAATCGCAGTCGCTCTGGCTGCTGATTATTTTCCAGAATGGCGTTGCAGATTGAAAAATTGATAAAAATCATCTTTGAAGCGTGTTGTATATCAAGTAAAAATTTAAGCCGTTTTTTTTTTGAGTTTTTGAAGCGTACACAAACCAACTCAACAGTTTTATTTTTGTAACTAATATAGTGTTAGGAATAATAACAATGAATCAAGGTTCGGTAAGCTTCATCATTCCTTTGGAGGTCCTTTGTTATCTTGTTAATGTCAAACCAAACAAGGTTTCTTCGCTTGGCAGGAATTAATCAGATTTCATTTCAATATTAAAAACTTTTGAGGTTATTCATATATTATAGAACATTCAAGATCCTTTTGATCAATGTCAATGCCTTCTTAATTAAAATTCTAGTCTTATATAAATATTCAACAACCAGAAACTGTAACAATAGTTGTTGCAAATTAATTAAAATCGTGGACTAACGAAAGTTGTTGAAAAAAATATTGTAATCAAAGTACGCAACCTCTGCAGAGACTTGTTGACAGAGTCATCAGTGTAATACTTTAGTTCTTTTTTATTTTTTTAAATTATCTACTGTCAGAGGCCTCGCTCGCGGAATATTCCTTTTTTCGTGACTTTGAAAATAACGAATTACCATACAACCGTTCCTCCCTTATTTTACCATCTTAGGGAGTGAAATTAAAAAAAAAACCTTACTTAGTGGGTGATTACAACTTAAGGGCATCAGCTGTCAAAATTCCAAGTGTGTAGCCCCAGCGGCTTAGGCTCTGCGTTAATAAATCAGTCAGGGCAAGTGGTTTTATAATTGTATAGATGTACCTGTGTTCATATTTAGGTGGGCAATTTTTGTAATACATGTTAATTTAGCCATTATTCTCAATAGTTTCAAATATACATTTACCACACACAGTTCTGGAACACCCAAAGGTTGACTGGAAGAAAATACAAGTAAGGCCATTTTGCAATATATTTTCAGGAAGTGCAAATAAAATAAAAATTAAATTCTATAAATGTACCTAATGATTAAAATCTTAATAGTAATATAATTTGTGGAACAGACAACTGGAATTATTAGTTTCAGTTCATAAATATAGTAATAATTTTTTAATTTAATTTGAAAGTTTTCAGTTTTTATATGTGCTCTACAAATATGCGAAACTCAAGTCGCCATGACGTTATTACGTCGTCACGTCAGTCAAAAACTAAGTAAACTGTGAATTTTGTTGAATATTTTCGAATAATTATTTCTCAAGTGTCTTTACATAGACATGTCACTACATATACATGTGACTTTACATAGTATTTAATATTCAGAATAAGTTTTTTTTTATAATAGGATTGTTTTGTGTCATAAATCCTATAAATCAAAATTTTTGTTTGGTTCAGTACCCAATTAAGGTTGGTTTACACGATCTGTAAACATCGATAGTAGGATGTAACAAATATCTCCTTAACAAATACCCTCTCGAAGTGCAGGAATCTAAAACGAATTTTAATTCAACCTATTAGCAAACAAATTTTCAGTAAGAAATTGTAATTATTTTAAAGGGTATTTTGTTCATTGTTTCATTTTAATAATCGAGCTTACGATTTTTAACCGACATCAAAAGGGAGGTTCTATTTGCATTCCGCATGCATGATGACCAACTAATGTTATCAAAGTTAATTATTTCATGGTTCTCTTCGTATTTTATTAAAAACTAGTAGTCCCGACAGTAATTGCTTTTATATTACAGCTTTCTAATGAAATAAGCAAAACATGATCGCCTTATCAGATCTATATATTATTATAACTCGTGCGAATCGAGAACCCAACTGTGGGTAAATAGCATGACAGGAGAGAGTAGCCCCCCCGCCTGTCTCAATATAATCTCGATTTATTAGAAAAACCTTTTTTACAAAAAAGGTAATCGGGTTATTATATTACAATACTAGTCTTGTGCAGTGGCTGAACAAGCTTGACTTTGTAAAACTAACAAACTTTCATTAATATTATATTAATTGCATCTAACTGTAACAAGAAGTAGGTACTTTTCAAAATCAAATTTGATATTCGCTGTTAAATCTAATAAAAGAAGGCGAGCGGCTCGACGTGAAAGTACAAAATATATGTTTGCCTAAACATTCCTCGAGTGGTAGTTCCAAAAAAAAAGTCCTTATGAAAGTTACCCTAAACATCTAGGTTGATCCTGTTGGTCTAGTGGTTAATGACTCTGACTGCTGTCGTAAGGTCCCACCCAGAACCAATATTGTGTGATGAGCATGATCATTTGTTCTCTCTGGGTGTTACTTATGTACCTATGTATTTAGAACTATATAAGTATGTATATCAGCAGTCTGGTTACCATAGTTTAGGTTCTGCCTAATTTGGGCTAGACGGCCGTGTGTGAGGTTATTTCGTTGTTTTTTTAAGAACGAGGCGCTATTTCGAGAACATTTTCTTGCGATCATATTTAACGCCAGCCATGTAAATCGGATTTTGGATTTAACATATATTAGTAAACAAACAAAGTATGTAAAGACATTGAAGTCGTGGCTAGTGCATCATCTGCAGACCCGTCAACGTTGTACAGGGGCCCGAATAACTTTGGAATGAAATTAAAAAAACCTTCAAAGCTCTACAAACACCCAAGAGTTACGAAATGCATGTCTTGTCAAATCACAAGACGAAATCCTTAGATCCAAAAGACAAAAATTCATCAGATCTCGAATCACGGCTCCAAGTCCACAAGAAAATCATGCTAATCAGCTTAATTAAAAAAACGGCCAAGTGCGAGTCGGACTCGCGCACGAAGGGTCTATAATAGTACAGAACCCTCGGGAAAGAGTTTTATTTGCCGGTTTATATGTAAAACGGTAAAACTAAACACGTTTGTTGAATGGGATATTTAAGGGGGGCCCCTTAAATATTTATTCTATTCTGTTTTTAGTATTTTTTGGTTTAGCGGCAACAGAAATACATCATCTGTGAAAATTAAGTGTAACTATCACGGTTCATGAGATACAGCCTGGTTACAGACGGACAGACAGACAGACAGACGGACAGCGGAGTCTTAGTAATAGGGTCCCGTTTTAACCTTTGGGTACGGAATTCTAAAAATTACCAAAACTTTTATATCAACATTTTCATACAAATCTCCAACTTCATAGGTAAAGACCTAATACCAAAATAAACGTTTGTCGCGATCTTATTTCCAAATACATAATAAATTAAATGCATTTTAATTTATTTTACCACATATATCTACTATTAACATAACGATCATACTTTTTTGTATAAAATGTCTTTAGTGAAACGAAAAAAAAACATTGCATAGGTACATAATTATGTCTAATAAGTTTCAGTTATATCCTATATTTAAATTTTATTTCAGTTTCATAAATTAAATTGAGATAGAACAAATGATCGTGCTTATCACAAAACTATTCGTCATATGTGGGAATCGAACCCACGCAGTCTGGCACAGCAGTCAGGCTCACTAAGTCACTAGACTGATATTCCAATCACAAAGACGTTGGTGACGAATTAAGAATACAGTGTCACCACCCCTATTCATCCCGTTGGTGTCGTAAGAGCCGACTAAGGAAGCAAACTACGCAGGAAAACAGCACTGCAGAGAGAAGGAAAACTTGACACAAACCATTTTTTTTTTTAACGTGTGGAAATCCCCTCGGGCCGTCACCCCACCGGGGTTTGCGGCGGGGTGGTGTGTCGGACTCGGACCGACTAAAACCACACGGTGTGCCACTCTGCGCCTGTAACAGGAGGGATCCGGGAACAGCTGTTATTAAGACATCCGGACCCCTCCTAGCGCCAGCCCGCTCCTGGTGCGGGCTCCGTCTCAAAATTTTCCTCTCTTTAGGCGACGTCCGGCACACGCGGACGCCGCCCCCTCGCGGCTGGCCAAACTAATGCGGGTGGAGGGGAAACCCACCCCGTCCACCCGCGGCCACACTTGACACAAACCCTATACCAACCCGTCTGGTCAGTATGCCAAAACGTGTTGCTCTGCCGTATCGATCACAATGATGTAATATAATTTTATCAATGCTGATTGCACTCCGCAAATCACTCGAACCAGTGGCTGCTGATGAGATGAAGGAACATGTTAAAAATAACTTGTTATTGTGAGCCATTCATATTTTTTTAACTATACAACGTATGATCATACTAGGCAGTATAATATAAATGTATTCAGTAACCTATTTAGCATGATTAGTATATTTGAAATCAGCTTAAAGAGCGGAATAAATATTTTATTTCCTTCAAGGTAGTATAAATTGTGTTGCACTTTATTAGATTACACAATTTAGTTTTTTCCGCAATAAAATATTTATATTCTTTTAAAAAAGTAGCCCGGATTTCTGAGATATATAAAGTATCAATTAGTTCTAAAACCAAAACAAAGAAAGGGAGGCCAAAAGCCTGTACTTATTTAACACTAGAGTATACATACAGTCTCAGATTTCGGCTAGGAAACGCAACATGCCGTTAAAAATTGTAATTATAGTTAGGCCTTTCTTATCTTTTGTTTAATAGAGCAATACTTATGTATGTATGTTTATTTTTTAGGCTGAATAAATGAATACTTTATAAATGAATACGGTTAAAAAATTTAGAGCGTATCTTTCTACTGTATCCATTTATAAAGTATTCATTCATTACAATTAAAATTGAAAGTAAATGGGACATCATACTTGTTGAAGGCTATTTCTCGTTTTTTACGAAAACATTTGTTGCTAATATAATTAAAAAATCACTGGTGATACCAACCTGGACGTGAAGAACCAGTAGAGTATAGCGGTAAAGATGGCGAGCTCAGCAGCCCCACTGGCCACCCTTACGTGCTCAACCATCGTCCACACGCTTATCATCGTATCCATTGTACTGTTGTCAACAGCCACTACATCACCCGTCCAGTTCCACAACGCACTTACTTCGATTATTTTCGACGAAATCTTTACAAATTTCCACACAATTTTTTATTAATAAAATAAATGACACTTTGATCTATTAAAACTATTTCGAGAGCTAGAATAAATTCATGAATAATAATTAATAGAGCCGACACATGCTAACTCCGTGAAAGTCGAAATGATATTGCGAGAACTGCAGATGTGATAATGAGTCGACCTATGTTCAACATCAACTCACAGCATGTCGGCGCGTTCTAACTTGATATGAGACACTAACCCTATGTTATAATAATTTATGACAAATTAATTGGCTTGAGATAAACTAATGACCTGTGTCCACGCACGGTGAGCGCTTGAAGAGATCACGATTAGTGTCGATGAATAAAAAATTCATATGTCACTGTTAGGGAAAGAGTACTAAGGGGAGCTATCATTGTAACTGTAAGTATTACGAAAAATGTAAACAAGCGCAGTCTTAAATTATTTCTAGGCTATTTCGTTACGTTCCTTTATCGTGTATTTTTGCCGAATTGTATACCACACCTACAATTTGACTCGACAAAGAAGCGCTCGTGTTATCTCAGCAGTTTTTCTTACTTCCATTCGTACATTCAAAGGGATGTATGTCGCAGTGTCAGGTACCTACATACTCGTACATTATTTAAATTGATGTTATGCTATTATGTTATGTTATGATGTTATAGTTTGCAAAGTTTACATATTTTAACTAATTTACGTGATCAAATTCACTCAAAATTACATTAACAAACTCCTTCAAATATGTTTCGGTGAAGGCTAATAATCTGGCTTATAGATTTTTAGCGATATTTTTTAGCGGTATTTTATTTTATATCAAATTAATTTTTAAAGTAAGAGATACTTGAATTTCTAATGGCGATTAAACATTTTTAGTATAACCTTCATTTTTACTTGAATTTTGAACGCGCTATTCTTGGAGACTAGGATCGCAAGGATACAGATCAAGCATTTTATAATGATTTAATGAATTTATAAATATAAAAAAAAAATAAGGACTTATTCAAGGCGACATAAGCAGATAAAATGTTAAACATGACATTCTTTATAACCATGAAAAACCGATATTCTGTTTGATTTTAGTCTCCTGGTTTTTTGGTTCAGCATCTGTGAGACGTCTAAGGCGACCACAAATCTTTTCTTAAGGCTGAGACAAAAACCGATCTGACATACTCAAGTCTCCTAAAACGGCTCAATCATTCTAAACAAGATTTATAGTTGCAAAACTATTTTAAGCAAAAATTATTTGTTAATGAATTTATACACAACAGTAAAAACTTTTACGGGTTTTATAGACACAGCTGCTGTTTTGATATATATTATCATGAACAGTTCTTGACCTTGTTTGAATTATTCTCTTTTGCAAGAATTTCATCATATAAAATATTTTTCACTTTTATAAATGGAAATACTGTTAGACCAAGATTAAAGGTACAAAGATAGAAATAATACACCCTTCTTTCCTTTAGTAAATACATACAATATTAAAAGATTGAGTTCAGGTTTAACACATCTGGCCTAATTAATGTATTTTCCCAAGAAAAGTAATATGCACTTTGAAGTCAATTTCGCTAGTTTACATGACGCCAGATATGAAGACGTAGGGGCGAGTTAGTCATAACACCCTTATTTGATGATTATGTTAAAAGAATAGAAAGTTATGGGAATATATGAAGCCAACTGTAATGCATAGAACCTATAATATTTATAACAACTAGTAAAACGCTAGTACGAATGCTTAAAGATCATAAATTTTGAGCCACGCTCCATTGAAGACAATAGATAGAGTATTTTATTAGAAGCAACTCATACATCTTATAAAGCCTTATTTAAGTAAGAATTAGTCATACTCTTATGTAAAACTAGACGTCAAACTTGCTCGAAAGCCGGATAATGTGCTACATTTGAATATATTATGATCAGATTATAATTAAGAAACATATTATTCCTTAAATTTAGGACATACAATGTGCGTGGTAGATTGTTTGCTAACAGAATTCATTAGCATTCCACTTAAACGTGCACTGCTCTAACAAACGAATGAATTAGTCCACTCTTATTGTAGGCAAATCAAATTAGGAAATTACAAACTTCTATTGTAACGCAATAATTAATCCATTTATATAAAATCTTAAAGCACACACAATAATAAAAGTGTAGAACGTAATTGACGTAGCCTTCTGAAACATAGTGACTGTGAAGACGAAATCGAATTACATAAAGCAAGCACAACATTAATATTTAGCTTAAACAAGAATATACCTGACGGTATAACGAAGGTTTTAATGGCGTCTAGTAATACAAAGAACGATATCTTGCAAGTATACGACTGAAATAACAATGAAATTGCGCAGGCAACCAAGGTGATCCTTAATGTAGTCAAAGTCATCACACTAGGTTCTGATAAAAGTATTCAAAACCGTTCAAATTTTCCTCCTAACATTATTTTTTTTCCTACTACAGTATCCGGTGTTTACAAAAAGGTTATTGCCAAGCCAATAGAATTCCTCGTGTCTTATTTCCCCCACTCATTAACATACCTGCACGGAATTATAAACAGCCAACATTAGAGCATCTAAACGGACAACTAAGACATTTATTATAAACATTTTCAAGGTGGATGTGAAAGAAAAAGTGCAGAAAAAATTACGAGTCAAGACAAACATACTAGAGCAAGTCGGATTATAACGTGAAATGAAGATTTTAAACTTACTTAGATTTTTATAACTTCAAAATTTTACATGTCATCAAACACAATATTTCTACGGTGGGTATAGGTTAGCACAACTAACCTATACCCACCGTAGAAATATTGTGTTTGATGAAGAAAGCAAAAATTTCCCTCATTTCATAATCAGCAGATATTATTGACGACCGGGTGGTATAGTGGTTTGTGTAAAGGACTGCTATTCCAAAGGTCGCGGGTTCGATTCCCGCTCAAGTCAAACATTTGTGTGCATGAACATTTAATGTTTGATTTGGTCTGGGTGTTTCTATGTATAATATGTATGTATTTACAAAAAAAAAGTATTTATATTTATATCAGTTGTCTAGTACCCATAGTACAAGCTTTGCTTAGTTTGGGACTAGATGGCGTTGTGTGAATGTGGTAGAATATTGTTATTATTATTTTATTATTAAAATGTGATTGTGGAGTGTTAGTTATTTGAGTGACTCACTTCGTACTTGGTGAAAAATTAAAAATGTTGAAAATAAATGGATTAAAAGTAGTGTTAGTGAGAATGTACCGTATTTATGAATACATTTATTCACATATTTAATATGATAGTACAGTATTATTTTAAGTAGGAAGTAAATTGTGCTAAATTCATAATAACATTTTAGTTCGACCTAGGTACGACCACATAGTAAACGTAAAATATAATAACTTATATTTTACATTTACTATGCGAAATGCGATGATATAACCATTTGAATTCTATGCATCTTCATGAATGAGGTGAGGCGAAACAATCGGGCCATAGCTAATGGTATAACATAGTGCGGTCAATATCATCATTCAGTTCTCGAATATCGATTTCTAGCAAGCGTTTGATACACAGCATGACGATAATACTCGCTGGTAACTGACTGAAGGGGTGTCATTTACTAATACGATATTATAGCTGTGACGTTGGCACAGAAAGTGAAATCGACATGCAAGCATAGATTGCTTGTAAATAGCATTGGTGTAAAAAAATATATTTTGATGCAACATTTTTTTTATCTTACCTAATTTTTGTTACTCGTTTAAATTAACAATATGCTTATAAAATGTTAACAGTTACGATGTATAATTCATTATTTTATAGGTCACTTTGAAACAGCTAGTCGGAACGTGGAAAGAATACGAATTTTTATATAACACAATCGAAAACGGTTTGAGCGATGCGCGGGCGCAGTACGTATTTGCTCATGCGCAGGCGATACACAACTGAGGCGGTGAGACGCTGTCGCAAACGTCACAAAACCGCGCGATCGTTCTATTACCGTAGTGACAATGATTGAGTTAATGCGTAAAAGAAATGGGAGCCCGAACTGCTACTGCGGGATTGACCCTCCGATTGACTTCCATGTCATGTAGCCTTTCTGTATATTTATATTTTAAATGTTGTATCAATCTACAATTGGTTTGAACTAGTGATGACAAAACACAATAATAAGAAAATGAATTAAGAAGGGCAGTTCTAGTGATCTTTTTAACATTGTTGAATGTGTATAAGCAGAGGACTTACGGATCTTAAAAATTGAGGATTCACTTATTTTTAATAAAGTAAAGTTAACAGAGTCAAGTCAGTAAATTAGTGAAATATATTGTCTATTTACATAACAATCTATAAAAAACAAGTTTTGAATGAATTGACTTCAACCTACATATTAAATTAGAACTACTGTGTGCAAAACAACCCGTGTGAAAGAAACAATTACACCAATAGGAAAATGTGATGTAATAATATTTTATTGGACAATGTCAACACATTGAATAGTGTCAAGATCAAGAATGTCATCAATCTAACAACTACAGTATTTATAGCACTTGATTAGAGTAATGAAGAAAGGAGTTATTTTTAGTTGCTAGGTTACATTTTCTTTATTTGTCATGTGCGATTATTGGAGCGACTCAAAATATTTAACACAGGAAAATGAAATACCTAAGTGCCCAGTACAAAGAATTTGCATTTTCTATAAGGTAAGTTCCATGTGTAAGCGACTGAAGGCCAGGCGCAGCGTTATACAGGTGGTAAAAGTAGTAATTTCAACTGCTTTCAGGCGACCGCGTCCAAGTATGATACGAAACAGCAATACCTATTAAGCATTAAGTAACGTCAGACAAAAGATACCATTAGTGGTGGATCTACAACGTACATATTAAACGATACCCGCCAATCTGCTTTGGTTCCTTCTTCTCCAAGTCTAATAGTACGAATATA